TCAGCCGAGCCGAGGCATATGCCTTCGGCTCGACTGAGCCACTCGGCTAAGTTCGGGAGCTGTACGGGCTATTGTGAATAGCCCTTACAGCAGCCCTTCAGTTCTACTGAACCGAAGGGGTCCTGGGGCCGAAGCTAGCTGAAGGATCGGCCGAAGCTATGGCTAGATCCTTTGGCTACTTTGTGAATAGCCCGCAATGTCTCAGGCTCCTTATTCAGATTAAAGTTCCTCCATGGTATCTTCATCCCCGAGTTCAACATACTAGGCCTTAAACCCAGAGCCAAGCACATGGTCACCCTCCACAGACAGCAGGCCTAAGAGGTTAGACATACAACTGCATCCCTCCTGAGGCAAGAGGCTCAGGGGGGAAGACTGATTTCCCAAGGTCACTCCTGAATATTTATTCCCTGCCCCAGCCTGCACCACTGGCAACAAAGCTACTAATGATTGGCCAGGTAGACATACATATTCCTAACTCTGATTAGTGCAGCCTCCAACACTTTGCCAGGTACACTCCCCAACAGCAGGAAAAAACAAGCAATGACCACAGCTCAGGAGAGATTCAAGAAAGCCAATCTATCAATTAGACTCAAGCTGACTACAGCCTACCAGCTTCTAACCTTAAAAAGACACTCCTGCTTAGGACAGGGTTGCTACATCTATTAAGTCATCATAAACAAGGTTTTCACACAGTTTGACAAGAATATTAGCATCCAGGTGAAATATTTTACAAATATGTCAAAAAGCAAAAATAACAATAGCAATAACTATATATTCCGCATCCCCGTCAACCCCATTCCATTATCATCCGTGCCGTCTGTGAGTTTTGTCAGTTTTATTGCCAGGAATAACTGATAGTTGATGACTAATGAATAACTTTAGTCGTTATTAACACTTTGTTACTGACATTTGCTAGTGAATGAGAAGTTTTGATATTGGTGTTGCAATGAAACTTCCCTAGAAGGCATCTGACAACAATTTTTTTTCCAGCACAATGGCTACTAGACATATTCTTTGCTTGTTCTGGCTGTCAACAACTTTTTCCAGTGCCCTCAACCAGGCTGAAGTGATATAACTGATATGAAAATAATTGCACATTGTCAAACTCTATTTTAGAAATCTAGCAGCCTTGTAGGTGTCATTTATAAACCTGAAAATAAATAATTTTTATAACTTAACATGTTTTGTTTTTTCATATTTTGTCTTATTTCAAAATGAGATGGGATGCAGATGAGAATGGACACATTGGGTTTGGTAAATGTTCTCATGTTTTGTTTTTTTGTTTAATCCACATTACGAATACAATGGAATTGACCGCTAGTGATTTAAAGCTGGATCCTAACTGTGGCAGCAAATTATAATTTTTTTGTGAAGTGATGTTTTATAGGAGCTTTCTAACCCTTTATTGGATAGAGTAGAGAAGAGTTAAACCCCTGGTCAAGTTTCTTTTCCCCATTAAGTTAGATTTACTAATTGTCCCATTAACACACCAGGAAAGTGGAAATAACCAAAGTTAGGATAATCTTCTATTAGTTGTCCCCAAAGCAAGTGGAAGTCTTTCTGGAATCTTGCCCTTTATTCCTGTTCTGGTGACAACTATAAAAATGTTGGACAATGCAATAAATGTTTCAAATTAAGGTTTTCTCCACTAAACATATGTTGATGTGATTGACTATATTTAGTCAATGAGAGTGCCTGAGCTGCTTGAATGTAAACTAACAACCAGGGTTTTGGACAGGCGAACTGGTCAGTTTGGGCCTATGGTGGTTGAACAAATTGTGTACAGCCTGGATACAGGTCAAACAGAACCTGAATCTCACCCCTTGTAGAGTTTAACTGGCTTCACATCCTACTGCCAAGTTGCCTGTTCATCTCCGTACTTGCCATTCACACAAACACATTGTACTGTTTGCTGCAAGTGTTGATGGCACATAGTCAAGCTTCGGTAGTGTGAATTGGGGCAAGATGTATTGTAGTACAGTATTATGGATCATAGTTATAATCTCACTTGTACAGGTAGATGCAGCTGGGTATTCACAGTGTGTTTTGTTGGATATCCGCCTCGAGTCACATGATTCTGTTCTCCTCCCTCTTGCTGTTTTTGAGGGGGACAGCAGTGGGCAGAATAGGGAGGTTTGTGTATGAACCTATGAACACAGAGAATGCAGTTTTGCAGCCTTGGATATAGTTTTATTCAGCAGAAGAGGGAGTAAGAGGGACTTTGCTACTTAACAGGGCTAAAAGGTGTAGCATACAAATGCCAGAAGCCTTTCAGTATATAGACAGTTGGTTTAAATGCACACTTTTGATGTTTAACCAGGGTGTCCCCTCAGATGGTTAGGACAACTTGATATATAGCACATTATTACCCACTGTGCATTTTCCTCCTTGTTGTTTTATGCTTTGCACGTTGTCATTATGAAGGACAGCCTGAGAAGAAAATCTAATTTGTTTTATGAGGATAAGATTTCTCACATGTGATTTATGTGCAAGATTTCTTTGTTATTTGTTTGTTCTGTCAGTACCAATAAGGACCTGCCTTTTCTTTGGATGCTTTGTAAATTATTTTAGCTGTGAGTATAACATTCAGATACAGCTAATTACACGCTTCATATTTGATTAGCATGATGCATTTAACCTTAATTGCACTCCCACGATGTACTAATTCATTTAGAATAAAAGAAAAAAAAAATCTGTTAAAGGCCTGCTCTTCTTTTTAAAATGTTTTTCAATTAGAGAATCATAGTAGCCAGCATATTTTGTATAGCAATCCTCATCATTGATGACAACATTTTATGGATAGTCTGCTGAGCTTGGCATTGCATAAACAGCAGCCCTGGCATCACCATGGTTTGCTGAAACTGTCCTTACAAGTGTTAGCAAGAAAACCACTCTCTTTAGATTTTATTGTATGACATTTATGCCAAGCTAAGCAATTAGTAGTGTACCATAGATGAGCTATTTGTTAGCAAATCCTGCTGAAATGACTGATTTCGAACTGAGACTACTGCTGAGCTATTACAGTTTAGAGGATCAACTCCAAGATGTATATGGGCTGCAGTAAGCAGTTGATTAAATACTGATCAAGTAAAGCTGAAAAGCCAACAAATATTCAGCAACAGTCCTTCTGGTAAATGCCAGAATTGACAGATTACCATCTTGTAATCTCCAAAAGCCCAAAGCAATGAATAATAAATCATTCTAGCCATTATGAACAAAAGCAAGCAGAGTCTGAGTAGTTGGGTTACTGAACATCAGCACTACATTATTGCTGTTTGTGTAAGCAATAGCAGGTTTCATATACCTTAATTTATACAATATTAGCTAATATATTGAACCTTGGCTGCTTAAGTGGAGCAAAATGCAACTAAGTGATGTATTTGTCATAGTAGTTAGTATAGGATTGTATTACTCTGAGCTAGATCAGATTTTTGTAGTACAGAGTAATATAAGATTGTTATTAATTCACTATGTAGTAATTCCAGTTAATAGGGTATTTGAGTATTTAAAATTACACCTGCACTTTTTAAAATCATCTTACCTGTGGCTGTTATTGATTCATAAAACATTTTTTTTTGTTAAATAGAGGCTGGTATGTTTTAATCATTGGTGATTTTAGTATGAGCTATGTTCACCATTAATACAAGTATTCCGCCGTTCTTACATAATCTCTTCTAATACATATGTTAAGTAACAACTATCCGAGCAAAACACAATTTTAATATTGTTGGGTATAATGCATGTCTATAAATATCACCATTTAATCACCATGAAGATGTAAACTAAAATTTTCCATTTATTAGAAAACATGAAAATCAGTCTTAAAACCTAAAATAAATACCCAGCATAATAGAAATCATCACTGGTCTCCAAGTTATTGGTATATTAGTGTGTGTACTTAATGTGATGTTTATAATCAGCCAGCCAACCACAAGCAGATAAAGTTTAGCATATAAACTACAGTCTTTGCTGTCTTTAAACTGTTACTGCTGGTGACACCTCACTATTAGCAGAATCATCATAATGCAACTGTCACCTTTTCTATGGATGATGCTAGCGAAAGAGCAATGCCATAATATAAGCTAGTTGGACTCTTCACCAGTGGAACCTGGGCCTACGTTCCTCAATTCTGATACAGTTCACTGCTACAAAGTTTCTGATTAGCTATTGCCTTTAGGTGGGAATCTTACCTGGGCATTCATTTCTATACATATTTAGTTAATATATTACATTTATATATAGCTACTGTGTGATTCATATATGGGGTCCTCAAAGTTTTAAGTGTTGTCAAAAGAATTGTTAAAAGAATAAAAAAAATTAAAAGTTAGTTGTAAACATGTATTTCAACTGTTTATTTGCTGTTTTGTTGGATTTTTTGCATTTGCTAGGAGATTTCCCCACACTTCCTGTCTACTGGAACAGGTAGTAAAGGAAATCTTCCCTATGAGGACACAAACAATAAAAAAATTTGGCAGAAGTTTTAATCCTTCCCCACTGTATCCAAAAATAGTAGTTTTGGCTTGAGTTTCACCTCATAAAATCAGTAATCAATGTTGAAAACACATGATTAGTGCAATGTACCATTCTGCTACCATTTTAGTTAAGGTTTTAATAGTTAATTCTTATTTTTCTAGGACACTCAATTTGACCCTGAATCATTTAGATATACTATTGTCTGTGAAAAACCAAACAACAACCTCAGCAAATTCAAAGGCTACATGTGAGTACATACATTTTATATGTGGATGTCTAATATAGTTTCTGTTCTCCAGTCTTGTATGTGAAAATGTTCATGTAAGTGTTCACTTGCATATTATGAAATACTAGGTAAACCCCAAAGGTGCCTTGCTTTGTTGGCGATATTCTTAACTCAGAAATTATAAACCCATACAATTGTACGTATTTCAGGTGTGCAGCGTTTAGTGCATTCATAAGGGAGAAAGGCAGAGTGGGGCCATAGGTAAGGTAGCAGTTTTTTTCCCCCTGTTACTTTAATTGTCCTTGATAAGGATTGCAAAAGGCACAGAGACGCAATACCATTTGCCGTGTCTGTAATAACATTGCCTGTCCCATTATACACTAACTGCCTACAAGAGAATCCTCCCTAGCAAAGTGATCCACAGCTTAGACCAGTTGTGCTATCCACCTGGTTTACTGCAGTAGAATAAATGTGACTCAGTCCCTTGACATTATTTGGGCCCTTAGGAATGTATTCATTTTTGTGAGGAGAGCACCTCCCTACCTCAATTGGTAGGTTTAGAAATTGGAAAAAGCAAACACTAGCTAGTCCTAATTTCTTCCTTTAGCTCTAGCTTAAGCCTCCATCTGGGTATAGATAGATGAACTCCTCAAAGTCTTATTTTCCTGCTGCGAAAATTCCAACCTGTGGAGAGGGTAGTGTTAGATGCACTAGCAAATTGATCTAAACTCCAGTGAACTCCAATGATAACCATTGTAAGCACCCCCATGCTTAAAATGGTTTGTCTTAATCTTCTACTACATGACCCTGTAGTAATCAATGATGTCCTAATATTGTAATATTGCAGTGGGTTATTTTACCACTTTGTAGCAAACTTCACATTCACTTCTTGTTACTATTGTCAGTTGTTGGGGAATAAAGGAAGCTATTAATCATGATGTAATGTGATCAGAAAACTGCCTTTTGCATGAAAGTTTCAAAATGCTGCTTGCGATATGATTGTTCTTTTATATATTTAATTGAAACCTCTTTGGAACCTGTTCACTTGCTCACTGTTTTGCTTTTACATTTATTTTCAAGCCTCATTCTATGCTTCCAAGTATATAAGAATTTCTTTTTTTACACGGTTGTAGGTTTATCTGTTCAAAAGTATTTCTAATTGGTGGCCAAACATTACGTTTAATCGATTCATCTTAATGGAGACACATGTTCTTCTTTAGTCAAGCCATTTTTTAATCTCATGTATCTGCTACTCCAATCTAATGTATAATTAAACAGTAAAGATTACAACTGAGTGTTTAGAATACATTAGAAAGGTGTTGAAGGGATCATATACTCTGTAAACAAGCTAACGCTATCTTCCTGTTTCAGCACTGTACCAGACACAAAGTGATAGATTTTTTCTCCATTGTCAAATCCAATACACATACAATAAAACAGTTACGTCAACGATAAAGATCAAACTCTGTAAAATCAACAAATTACTAAAGCAAACTATATATAGCAAAGCCACTCCAATAATGACACCATTAGTTATGAACAGAAAATGCTGCCATCAAATATTACACAAGCTACATTACACCTTTCCCTTTACTGTGGCTAAAACTTTGTGATTCAATTCTAGAATGTTTTCATTCTCTGGAACATCTTCTGGTTTATCCAGAAGTGATATTTCAGTTTTTGTTAGATACTGGACGGTTAAACCACCTGACAGTTTTTTTATATCTCTCAGGGACTCTACTTAGGAGATTTCTGTACTTGAGCTCTTGGGCCTGCACACTTCCTGTAGCCATTATGAGGGAATGAACTCTCCTTGCTGGGTTTGTTAGGTGGACAGGAGCTCCAAATAATTGTAGGTGGAAAATAACAGAGTGAATAATTATGGGAGGGTGGTCAATCCAAGTCACATAAAAACCCAACTATATAATTTCTATGAAGATGAGCTCCAGACAAATTGCTTAATACACAGATAAAATGCAAAAAAATAATGCTGATGAAGGTGGATGAAAAAAACTTTCTCTGTTTATAGACTGTAGATATAATATAATATAATATAATGTTATCCTCTCTTCCCCTCCAACCTGCTGCTTGAAAAGTGAAGAAGCAACTCATAAGATCATTACTCATGCTCTCTCCTTCTATTCGTATGTTCCTTTTCAGCACATTTATATGCAACACACATGACTGGCTCTCAGTGCTGCCCTTCCCTCTCCGAGTCCGTGTGTTGTTGTGTAGAGGATTATTATTAGAGGCTGATACCCATTCAAATAAAAAAAAACACATGTATTTATTAATAAATAAAGAGCTGCATTATTTGTGTATTTTATTTGCCTGGAATACAGCTTTAACTAAACACAATCCTTGTACGAAAAATAACTTGTTATAACTTCATTAAACATTTAGAAAAATAATAATCCTTTTTGTAAAATAACTTAACTTCTTAGGGGTCTATATGCCATTAACTGCTGCGGTTGAAACATTGTACAGTATTTTAGTTAAGTGCAGACAATTCCTAGCTTTAAGCCTTTTTGAGTTTTAGAAGTTACTCCTGCCTTTTCCATCAAACTAAATTTAGGGGGGAGGAGCATTTGTGTCAGCTAGGGACCCTGTAATATACTTTAGTTGTTTTGGTAGAATTTACATATGACTAGAAGTCTACTGGAAATTATCAAAGTGAACACGAGGAGTGTATAATGTATGTATAAATATAGGAACTGACAAAGCTCACACTTCAGTAGCCAAAATTCACTTTTAGTTGTAGAAGTACAACTGAGTTTTTACTTCTCACTTAGTATGTCAAGTAGAGATATGAAATGTGTCAAGAAAGAGCAGACATATACATATATACAAGAAAGAGAAGAAATATACATACAGTGTATACAAGAAAGAGAATAAATTTACATAGCCTAAAATAAATATTTAGTTCCAAGTATCTCAGGTTCTTTGCAGGCATAGGTGTACAGTAAATACAGCCTGAACATTTATAACATTGAACTCTAGCCAAAACATTTTATTTTCATTTTGGAAAGGGAGAGGATGAATTAGAAAAAGTGTGACATTTGACAATTGGAGCAGATGTCCCCCAATGCAGCATTCCCCCTCACCTCCTGTTCTGGTGACAGCTATAAAATGTTACTCCTCACCTCTCACTTTCTTTTCTACTGACATTAATCGAAACAGAAAGCAGCACACTGGGCACACAGACAACAATAAAAGCTGAAAGAAGGACTAACGTTTTCACAAGTAACCCAAATGGGAGAAAAAAAAGCGATGAGTTCCATTTTAATCCTGTCTTTAAAAATATCAAGCTTTCAGTTTCAGACAGAAGTCAATTGTTGAGTTGACTTTTGGTGAAAGAACTGAAAGAACAGCTACAGTTACTCTTTGGTGAAAGAACAGCTACAGTTACTGTTCAGTTATTCTGACAGTCAGGGGCACCAGCTGTGAGAATACCATAGCCAGCAGGGGAGATTCCTCCCATGCTCTTTAGAAGGCTGAATGAGAAAACTTTTACAGTGTATATGACAAACTTAGTTTGGGCCACTAATACAATGCAAGTCAAAACAGATCCTGGAAACCCATTTGGAGATTACACCTAATATTTGTACAGCTTTAAAACTGGAAATTCATGATCTGTTTTTTGTTTTTTTTAATAACTGGTGGTATTGCTTAGGCATTTAACAAAAAGACTTGCATGCAATGGTTCCATTATTTATAGAAGCACCTTCCCGGACAGAAAGTTATTTAAAATGTCCCCATAGAGGACACAGGCAAAAACAAGAATTTCTTACAATGTTTTTATTGCGGTCTGTGCCTTCCTTTTGTCAAGGACAACTGCACCCTTTATTGTACAGGCATCACAAGTACAGGAAGTCCCTAAAATTGGGTCACAGACAGAGATAAAAACCTGACAGAATATTTTTGGAAAATTGATTGGAGTTAAAGTATAACTAAAGGAAAAACGTTTTTTTTTTAGACCTGATTAGAGGGGTAAGGGGTTAGATCTACTGTTAGGTTTATATTGTTGTTTGTGTCCTTGTTACAGTGATTCACTCTTTCTAATCACCCTGATCATTTACCATCACACATTTTCAAGCTGAGCATAAATCCAACATTTTGAGTTGTCACCAGAACAGGAATAGAGGAAAAATCTTTCAATGAGGCCACTAGGAAAAAAATGTGGCTTTAGATTCACTTTATACTTAAGGCAGACCTTTACCTATATCTTTAAAATAACAACAAGCACATCTTTAGAAATGCTTACTAATGACAATCTATAAACATACATATAGATAACTGCATGCTGTGTATTCTTTGCATACCTTATTTCTTCCCCAGTCTTCTGACTGTTTACTAATGGCAGATTACTAGATCTCCTATTACTTCAAGTATTTCTAAATCACAGCATTTTACACCTGACATGTCTGTTATTATTAATCATACATAGAGGGATTAATTGAAGAATTACATTTTTGAGTGTAAAGGTCTACTTTAAACACCAATGATTAAAAAAGTCATAATAGTTTGTGTTTCTCTTCATGCAGGGACCAGCCTAATGGGCAGAAAACTGGATTTGGAACAGAAAGTCTTCTTCTGCGGGGATGCACAGTTCGAAACACAGAGGAGGCAGTTGGTGTAGTTGTTTATGCAGGTATGTCTGTGAAGTCATACACGCATGGATTTATAATTTATTATCAGCTTCAAAATTAAAGATAATCTTTGTTGTTTCGTTTTGGATAAAGTGTGTAGATGCTAGAATCAAAAAGAAAAAAGAAAGCCCTTCTACTAAAAATTCTCTCTTCGGATGGAGACTCGCCCTAAATTGGGTCGTTACTTCCTTCCACCAAAAAAGAAAACGAAAGTGGTAGACAAATGGGTACACTGTTACCATCTGATTGTATGGCCAAAACAAAAATATTTATTTTTATATAAATAATAGGGGAAACATTTTTAATTTTGTGCCACTTAAAGTATCTCCACATGTTCATGTGTCCAAGAACCAATGCCAAAAACACAGTGTATCACATAAATATAAAAACAGCTCTATAACCTAGGTAGGTAACATATAATTTCAACTGTCATGTGTCTATTCACTGATAAGTCCTTTTACTATCATTAGACCCATTTATAAAAAATTAGTGGGGTTTTTTTTTGTGTGCTGCACTTGGTATATCTGAAAAAGACTCATGTTCTGAATAAGACGTATGTTCTAAATAAAGACTGGGGACCTTTGGCCTATAGAAATGCAGCTATATGTATGTTTCACATTTCTTTAGAGCATTGTTTGCTGACACTAGAAAATGCACCTTTGGCTCTACCAGTTCATTTATCTTGTATTGTGAAATTACGGGTGTAGCAAGATACTGACTAACAAGTGTCTTAGTCAGTATATTGCAAAGTCAGACACTTCCTTCTAATTTTTCTTTCCTGATTCTTGTAATGATTCTTAGGCTAAGTTTGCATGACTGCTGTTTGCTATTGAAGAGTCTTTATTTGAGATTTTTTTTCACCTTTTTCTACATGCTGTTAATGCTTCTTTAGCAGGGGAGAGTGCAGGCAACCAGAATGTACAGAAAGAAGGAAAGGCATCGTTTATGTGACTTTTCAACTACTGGTATTGTCTTTGGATCATGGGATTTGTAGTGAGCTGCTTCAAACTGAATTATTTTTTTTAAAATCCAAGAAGAAAATCACTAAATAGAAATGTTGGTACCCATAAACAAATCTTTTCTTTACTTGTCTGGCTTTGGTTCTGACTGGTTGCTGTGGGTTAACTTCTAGTTATAAAAAAACCAAAATGTTAATACTAACATGCTAAGTGCTAATAATTTTAGCATATGCGAAGTATAAGCACATTATTCTCTTCCAAAAAAAAAGTATGTACATTTCTGCCTTTTTATTCTGCAGTCATGTGACTGTGCCATGTCCTTTGTCAAACCATCTTCACAAGTATGGGGGCATCTCTCCCTTGCCTCAATCTGGGCAATGCACAGATGGAGTTTTGCCAACTAAGTTTCTGCTAGTAGCCACTGTCAATCAAGCAGGGCCACCCAGGGGCAGAGGCATGGTGGCAAAGACTATGGGAGGACATGGCATTCTGTAGCTCTGATCAGTAAGATCAGGCACACAAACTGACCATGCCAACACAGATCTGCTTCCGTGCTTGGAGTGGACAGAATCACACAAGAAGACAGGAGAAGTGGCAGGATCACCAGGTTTCATAGTAAATAGGACTGAAGTGACACAAGAGGCAACATGTCACAGACACTTTATTAATCAATTCTTTCAAACAATATTCATTTTAGGCTTTCTATACACTGAAGTCTGAGTTTTCAGCCTTTATCGGCTATTTCATGATTCTGGCTTCCCAATGTCAATATTACTTATTCAAACTGTAGATGAGCACTGTTCTAGTGAAAATGGTTTGTGACTGAAATTAGACTCCGATAAATTAAACTAGAAATACCTTGCTGCGAATGAGCACCGTGTAGCTCATATGCACTAATCACATTTACTCCACTTGATGAAACACTAAAGTAGTGTCCAGCTGTTTGCCTGAAAATGTAGAACTGTGGAGGTCAGAACTGTTTCCAGCTCACTTACCAGTAAAGCAGCCAATTACAGCAGGGAACCTTTCCCGGAATGAGTAGATTTGCACTTGCAGATTGTCAAGTGAAATTCCATTGTATAGATGTGTGCTTTTCAACTCTTTTCAGAATTGCACAATGTTTATGCAAATCTTTGTCTTAAAGGATAACTGTGCTTTTCAAGCACTTCACTTTTTAAAAGTACCCTTATCCATGAACTTGTTTAAGTGCGAAAGGAAAGAATTTAAAGGAACTGTATAGTCTTCTCAATGTTTTATAGATATACTGTGCATGTCAAAGATATTAGCTTGATGTAAATATACTTTAATATATGTTAATATCTTTACAACCTTTTTTTGAATTATTAATAATTACATATGTATACGAGGGCAGCCATATTTGCTCATGACAAACACAGTCTCAACTAAGCAAAGCTACATGTTTGTTATAGCTTGCTGCTTCCTCTCACAATGGAAGTCAGAGTCAGCTAACTCCTTGAAATCAATGCACTCCCTATGTATCTGATATCTTAACAGTTGCTAGGCAGGGATGACAATTGATTGTACTAATGAATCTGCCCTGTCTCTGGAGAGTGACCTATAAATCTGTACATTTAATGCAATAAACAAAATGGTAGTGCGAGCAACTAAATATGGTAAAGAAACTTTAAAGCAAACCTTCACTTTGCCCATGCAAACCATGAACAGTGGTGCATTTAGGTTTTGTACTGCCCTAGGCAAGACTACACTCGGGCACCCCCCCATCTAAATTTGCTCCACCCCTTCCTGTTGAAGATATTTTATGTAACCTGTCAGTCTCTGGATACAGCGCAAACGCTGTATCCAGCTTCTGACAGGTTGCACTATTAGTGTAGCATTGAAGCCAGGGTCTCAGGTCGGCTCTGCAGGCACTCGGTTGGGCTGTGCTGGGTCTCAGGTGGGCTGTAAAGGATCTCCGGTGGGCTCTGCAGGGTCTCAGGCTAACACTCGCCTGAGACCCTGCACAGCCCACCTGAGACCCTGCACATCCCACCTGAGACCAATCCACAGCCCACCATAGAGCCTGCACACCCCCACCATAGATCCTGCAAAGCTCACATGAGACTGTGTTAGGCTCTGCTGGATCTATGGTGGGCTCTGCAGGGTCTCAGGTGGGCTGTGCCGGGTCCCTTTCCCTGCACACATGTGCTGCTCCTCTTGCCTGCAGCTCCCCAGCCTACCTCCAGGACACCCCACCGTCAGATCATGGGGTATGGGCAGCCCAGAGCCACCCGCATCTTCTCCTTCGCCTCCACTGGCTGGGCTGCATTTCACTAGGCCTTGACCCTGCCTTATAATTCGGTGCAGCCTGGCTTTCCTCACTGATTTGGGGGTGGCATTTTTGCTGCCCCTTAGAAAGTCCAACCCAGGACAAACGGTGCCTTGTGGTGGATGTGTCCCTGACTGCAAAAGGATTCAAATGAATAGCTACCTTTTGAGATACTGTACTTGTTTGTTTTTTTGCGATTGAAGGCATGATAGATCTTGGAGTAAAACTGTGTACGACCATCTGAAGGTTTAGCTATGAAAAGCAGCAAAACTGAGAAAAGTGGAGAGTCAGAAGGACAGTGCAGTGAAGAAACATGAAAGTAGGGCTGGGAAAATATCACTTTCCAAATGCCAGAGTCCTATTTTCTTTGGCTCTCATGTTTCAAAGTTTTTCAAATTTTTTAGTTGATAAACTTTAGAATTATTTTTATATATTTGATAGAGGATCTTCTTTTGCATGTTATTTTTAGTTTTAAGAACCTATTTAGCAATGATCGCAATAACTATATTCAGCTCAGAAATTTGATAAAAAATTATAAATAAAAAGCTTTTAAAAGGGTTTGCAAATCTTGCCACAGAAGTTGTTTGTAAGGGTCAGAATGGTTAATTAATACATTTGATTCTTCTTGATTGCTAGAAAACACTCAGCTACATGCTGAGATAGCTATGTAAATTGCATGCATATATAAATACATTTATTAAAATTCTTACTATTTCTGTCTTTTTTTTTATCCCCGAAGGGCATGAGACCAAGGCAATGTTGAACAACAGCGGTCCACGATACAAGCGCAGCAAAATTGAAAGACACATGAATATCAATGTTTTCTTCTGTGTGGGCATCCTTTTCATCATGTGTCTAATTGGAGCTCTAGGTTTGTGCTTTTCTTATTAATTATATGCATCTGCTTTATGTTCCATGGCTTGTTTAAAATGTTTTAGCTTATAATATTCTTCTTCAATCCATTAGTTGATGGCAACAGAAAGAAAGTAGCATGTCAATAACGCCTCCAAACTAGCTTTCCACATATGTAACCATTTAAAGCACATGTCCCATTATTCCTGATCCTGGGACCCACAAATCCATGAAGTCTCTAACAAATTAGTGCGGTACAGTTTTTGAATGATGAAGCAGATGTGATGATTTCTCGGAAATTGGCAACCTGCACATCCTTTTGACCAGTGAGCAAAAATGGGGTACAGCTACATACACATTACTATCTTTGTGGTAAATATTTAGCAAATAGAAGTGTTTTGACTATTGGCCACTGTATATTGTTAATATTCTACTGAACAAGCAATGGTAAATATTTTTATACCTTGTTTTCCCAACCTACATTTTAATGATGGCTGTGGTATGTCCTAGGATTGGAAAATAAAATGCAAAGGTGTTACTTTGGCCAGTCCTTACTCTATAACTGCCCTGTTCTATTGAATATGAAAAATATAATTGTAGCCATAATTAAACCATATTTACATCAGGCACACATGCCCAGAATGGCACAGGGCAACACCCAAACTGCCATAGTCTGATATTATGACACCATTCAACTTTTTGTTTTAAAGGAAAAAAATGAAATATGGTTGTTATGGGTCATTATACTACTGCGTTCATGAAAGCTTAAGATTATGTTGGCGAGTAAAACAGCTTGTATCATCATGGGGAAATGCTAGGACAATTGGGGGAATAATCAAAGTTCTTATATTTCTAAGAAGTTATTGGAATTGTTGGAATTGTTTTACTCATACTGTTTCATGACAATTGCAATTGTGTTCCATATTATTTTTTGCAGGGCATGGCATTTGGTATGGAAAATTTATTATACATCCACTATTTGATGTTCCAAATCCTGATGGAAGTTATCTTCCTCCAGCACTCGCTGGTTTCTATATGTTTCTGACCATGATCATCTTACTACAGGTAAGCAGTGTGTCTATGCTTCATTTAGGGATTACATTTCTACTTTTTTAAAGCACAGCTGTACTGCAGTAGTTAATAATCATGTTTAGAGGAAGTCAAATTTTACTACATTTTAAGAAGTGTCATTTTATAGGGTGCTACTAAGAAAGAGGAGAGAAGGGCATTTACCTACTGTATTTGCATGATTATCTAGCCATCCTATTAGCAATGGTTTTAATGTCGTTTGGAAACAGAGGGGGAATTGATGAAAACTGGAGCAGGCAAAATCTGAAGCAGATTTGCACTGCAACCAATCAGCCTGAATTGAAGCTGAAACTGAAGAAAGATTCTGATTGGTTGCCCTGGGCTCCATAATTTGTCTGCTCCAGTTTTGATTAATTTTCCCCAGTGTGTTTAAGGCATTATCATTCATGAGCATTCATTGGCTTTACATCCTCTTTCAAAATACCTTTAAACCATTAGTGCAGGAAAAAGGGAAAGTTCTTGCCTACCCCGCTAAATACCTTTGCAATATGTTATTTTTCCTACAGGCGCATGTAAGGCTTATTGTAGCTCTCTATGGCTGCATACTGTTGGCCTGTTATCATGACAGTGCTAGCAGGTTAGACTTTGGAAACAGGCACTGTAATGGACTTAAATGTCATTTAGTGGAAGTGACGCCTCTAGTCTTGCGTAATGCACGCTCCGTACAGTGACCAAGATATAGGTACATTTTATGGATGTTTGCACTGGCATACTTAGCAACATTTTAGATATAAAAAGTTCTGCCTCTGACCTATCATACGTCATTTTAAACTAATTTTCAGATTGCATCCTATCTCTTAGCCAACAGGATGGTGGAAAGTTCACATAATCCAAGATAGATGTCAACTGTTTTGTTCATTTATTTCAACTAGTGGGTTTTGCAAAAGACATTCTTATTAAATACAAGGTTCTATGTATTTCTGGAAGAGTAGGAGGTGTGTACTCATCATATCATAAATTATATCAGAATGTGTTTTATTAGTCATAGACTAATAGACTACAAATATTTGCTGATTAGGGAATGACCTTTACTTCTAGAAAACTAACTACTTATCCTTTTGTTTTAAGATCTTAATTCCAATTTCACTCTATGTGTCGATTGAGATGGTGAAACTGTGTCAGATTTATTTCATCCATAATGACATTGATTTATATGATGAAGAGATTGATTTATCTGTACAATGTCGGGCATTAAATATCACAGAAGACCTTGGCCAGATCCAGTACATTTTCTCTGACAAAACAGGAACTCTGACGGAGAACAAAATGGTTTTTCGCAGGTGTACAATTGTAGGAAATGAATACTCTCATCAAGAAAATGGTACGTTTCCTATTTTGACATCTAGATCTCACCAAGACAGATTTTGTACATAGGAAGGCGTGACTTTTTCTGTTCTTGTGTTTCAACAAGATCACAGCAACTGGGTTACGGTGGGAAGCAGCCTCTGTCCATTTTTGTATAATATTTATTTATTGTGTCTATATATAACAATACAGACATATAAACATGTAAACATCCCGTTAAAAGACTCTCCAGGGAGAAATCCAATCGAAACAGAAGAGAAAGATATTCATAACTTCTTCCTAAAACAGTCGCCATAAATTTTCCTTCCCTCTGTCCATTTTTGTTGTTGTTTTTTTTTATTTGTGTGCCTATTCGGGAGATTTCTCATTGCTTGATGCCAGGAAAGGAAGTGATGGGAGAGTTCTCCAACAAGACCACAGACAAAATCAAAAAAATTTTTTAGTAGAGTGTGAATGGTTTAGAATGTCTCATACGGTTTTTATTGCTGTTCTTGCCTTCCTGTCCCTGTGAAATCACTCTTCCCATTTTGTGCATAAACATAACAGGGAATGGTGAAAAATCTCCCTAAATGGAGCCACAGACAGAAATAAAATCCTGACAAAAAATTGAACCCTTTCTCACCATATTCAAAATGTTAAAAAAAAGTAGCTGGAGTTCGGCTTAGATCCCATCCCAATCCTCACTTTGCACTTCTAGCAGCATGGTACAGAATGTGAAAGAGATTAACTTAAAGTGTATTTCCACTTTTGCAATGAGAAAAACCCTCTATATGTTTGTCATGTATATCTATTCACACAGCATACCAACAAATATATTTAAGAAAAACATTTCTTATCGTTTTAGATGTTTTGATGCAGGAGGTAAGATAGCTGATTCCAGGTTTTTCTCAGCATCTTTACAGTGATCTGTCCTTATAGAAAGATTTTGGACTGAAATTTGAGGATTGTGTTTATCTCATTGACTCTGTTAAACAATGGAGAAGCCCCTCACCTCTCACAACCCCTCTTAACATTTCAATAGAAGGACAAGCAAGTCGAAAATGTAACCCTAAGGGCTGGTGCACACCACAAACTCCGCGTTCCAGTGTGTTCGGTCTCTGGAACGCAAGCCGGCCGGCTCCCTGCATTCAGGGGTGGGACGAGGCATGGTGGTGCATTGAAGTCAATGGCACCGCAGCCACGCCCCCCCACCCGCAGTGAGATCGTCACACACACATTAGTGCATGCGTTCCGGTCCAGTGCAATCTGCAAAAATAGTGCTTGCAATAAGCATTTTAATGATAGGTTAACTTAAAAAAAAAATCAAAATGTGGTAACTTACTGTAGACCGACCCCTTTAGTAGGGCATATTAAAATAAATATTCAGTATTCATGAAGAACTGCATCATGTGTGTCAGCTAAAACATAAACCAATATCAACGCCTTAATTCCATAACTCTTAACTTATTCAACTGAAATACATTATTTATCTAAAGTGTATAGTTAATGTATGCTATACAGTATACTGCTTATTAATTTGAAGTCTTAGTTATCCTTGAACAAATGCCGTATGATCTTCAAATATCATGAGTTTTAGCATTTTTTTTGAGTTTTTTTGGTTTTACATAAATTTTCCCAATTTGAATAGACAAATGTATAACAGATGTTTTAAGTATTTATAATGCATCTGTCTCCCTAACTGTGAAAGATAGTTAAACAGAAGTTTCTCATAATTGCACTGTGCCTCTTGCTATCAAACAAACTGAAGAGATTAGGAAAAAATCGCACTGTCATTTTAATTTTTTTTCCACAAAAAGCAACCATACAGAAAAAGCTGTTCACATTTTTTTGAATTTAATTAGCAATTTAATGTTAATTTCTTATTCACAGCCAAGCGTCTAGAAACTTACAAAGAAGAGGACTCAGATGACGAAGATTTAGCAAAACTCAGAAACTTTTCCTTGCTTGACCTTGAGGCTGGAAATCAGTCCACCGTGAGGCATAAAGGCACACGGGCTTTGAGACGATGCCAAAGTGCTCGACCTAATATCCAAGGGCATTTTAGGAAAAAATCAGAAGGACGTTTTGATATTTCACAGGTGGCATTTAGCAGCCCCATTGTAAGTATTCCTCTATTCAGTTCATTCAATTCAGCTTTGCATGAACAGCCATATCTTTTGCAGATTACATACAGAGAGTGCTAATTTAAGGTATTCTGCTAATAATTATTTGTGTTTTAAACCAACACTGAGTTCTGCATGGTGCACCTAAGCATTTCTGAGTCAGAAAAAAAAACACAGTGACAATGTGCAGAGGATGGGTTGGCAACATACACAATGTTTTTTTAGGGGTATCAAGCCCTACATTGCCTAGAATTTATTTTTCCTTGGAAGGAGAAGTGCTAAAAAATTATTGATTTTGTAGCTCCTATTAAATGCATGCCCTGCTTTTCACATAGTCCAACAATCTTTTTTTTACCAAACAGAAGGTATCTGCTTAACTTTGGGTCCCAAGGCAAAAGTTGGTAGCTTGGGGAAAAAAAGCGATGACACCCAAAGACAGTATTTCAGATTTGAAGGGGGTTAAATACGAGCCTGTTTGTTTTGTGAATGGCTTTGAGATCTAGAGTGCTTAAATCTGTACTGGCCTGGAAGTACAGTTGGACTAATCCTGACATGTAAAACTAGTTTTTAACACAATAAAGGGAACCTGCATGCTGGGGGTTTGCATCTAAGTGTGTAAGGAATGTTCTCAACCTAGTAAAGTTTACATTCCCAGAGTTGTTTTTTTTTTTAAGCATGTATGTCTTTATTGGGTTTCAAAAAGAGTATACAAAAGTATAACAAACAGTTGTGCGTTGGTAATCACATAAGATCATACATAAAAAGACCCAGCCGGGTTCTTGTCTTATGCTTAGTACACATTATCATCTTATGAATATATAAAAGTAAAAACAAAACTTAAAAAAAAAACGTCCAGAGTTGGGTTTTAAAACTGCATCCAGCCTTCTAAATTGTATTAACTCCTAAATATTGACTTGTTCATCATCACAGTAAAAGAAAGCACTGATAGTCCAGAGCATTTCATTGATTTACTTGCCTTTAATAAAACTGTGATGTCATTGTCTGTGAAGGTTCTCATTCATCCTGCTTTAAACCCAGCAACACACTGAGGAACCAAACGATCCAAATCCTAAACACAAGATAAATAACATTGTGTACACAGTCCCATGCAGTGAGGAGTGCTCAGAATGGTATGTCAGTGAAACGAAACAGCAGTTATACCAGCGTATGGCACCAGCGTAGAAGTACCAAAACTCTCTGGTCAGGATTCAGCTGTATCCCTACATCATAAGGAAAAAGGTCACTCCTTTGAACACAGTCAAGTGCGCATTCTAGACAGGGAGGAGGACTGGTTCAAAAGAGGTTTAAAAGAGGCCATGTATGTTAAAATGGAGACAAAAAGGTTGAAAAGAGATGGGGGGGGGG